GTCGCTGTGCTTTTCTTAATCATATTAATAAAGTCATAAATCAATAACACAACTCTTTCTTCTTCTGGTTATTGTGATATGAGGATGATCTTCTCGGTTTTGATGAAGGTCAGTGTATCCTCTTCATGCTGGGTTATTAATGTTGGGTTATTCTCAGTATCAGCACCACTATACTCTGGTTTATACTCGCGGGTCAGAAATGACCCAGACATCATGATAACAGCAGAACTCACCTGAACACGCCTATTGCAGACTATAATGCGGAGAGTTCACCTGAATAAGCCAACATTAGAGAACACGATCATCTGCTGCTGTCATCAAGACTGAACACACTCAGGACACCACGGCTGACAACACACACACACACACACACACACACACACACACACACACACACACACACACACACACACACACACACACACACACACACACACACTCACAACACAGACACACACACACACACACACACACACACACACACACACACACACACACACACACGTCTTTGCTTATTGACAATCATTCAGAATAATTCAACACATGCAGATAAACTCATTAAGAACTGATCAATACATTCAATTAATCTATAATCGATCAGTAATCAGTCAGTCACTGTCTCTGCATGTATTGATCAGCTATTGATCAGTTATTGATCAGTCTCTGTCTCTGCATGTATTGATCACTTATTGATTACCTGCATGTCGCGCTCCAGCTGCAGTAGGTGGTAGCGGTGCCAGGTCAGGAAGCCGGGCCCCTCGTGACTGAAGTCGACTGCGCTGAAGCTGGGCTCTCCGTCCCCCAGGAAGGTCTTGCTGACGGAGTAGTAGTGGGTCCAGACGAACAGGTTGTAGATGCTGATGTTCTGGAACTGAGTGCTGTTGTCTGGCCCGAAGATCTCGCTGTAGTGTCGTGTGGCGATCACGATGTCCGGATGCGTCGTGCGTTTGGCCTGATCCAGAGCGCTCACGAACACACGCTTCTGCTCCGCGCTCAGCGTCAGCACATTCCTGCGCACTGCAACCACAGCGGACAATGATCATACACACACACACATACACACACACACACACTCACACACACAGCACTGCGCACAGAGACGGACGAGGAGACAACATCTGCTTATAGACGCCACTGTATCCAACAAACTCCTCCTTACCGCATAATCCCCACACGAGTGTCTGTTTCAGCCTCTCACACGCACATTAATGATGGCGGGTCAGCAAAGTCCAGTTATTGAACTATTGTCAAGCTTCTGTCGGACTAGAAACGCTTCTACATTCACATTTTCTATGAGGACACACTCTAAACCAGCCCTCACCAGTCTCGGTTCTGGAGGGTGGTGTCCTGCAGGATTCAGCTCTAACTGGCCTCAGCACACCTGCCTGGGTGATACGAGTATACCCAGTAAGAGCTCCATCAGCTGTTCAGGTGTGTCTGATTAGGGCACCGGACCTCCAGGAACCAGTTTGCTGACCCCTGATCTAAACTAATATGTGTAAAGTATAAAGAAGTGATCGGGCATCATGACAGCTTACAGACAGCTCGGTCTCATCAGAACACTCGTCATCATCATCAGCCAGTTTAAGGAGCAGTTCACACAGAATCAACATGCCGTCATCATTCACTCTCCTCCAGCACCTTCAAGCCTTTGAGTTTTCCTCTGTTGAACACAGAAGATGATGGAAACCTGTAACCATTGACTACTGCAGGATTGGTTTCTCCTGCTATGGGAGTCAATGGTGACCGTTTTTCAGCATTCTTCAGAGCATCTTCTGCTGTGTTCAACAGAGTACAGAAACTCATAAACGTCATAATAAAGAGTGCTCATTTACTGACCCTGTAATGCTGGGAAATCTGCCTGGGCCGGTGACCATGAGAGTCTGGTGCTGGTTAAGCTGGTGAAGTGAGCCAGATGGCAGACGAGCACCTGGAAAACACCTGCTCACCTGCAGATCTGATCAACACCGTTACAGCATCTGCTGACCAGCGATTACACTGCAAACATCCTACAGCCGGGCTGAGCCTGCACATGTGTTCATCACGAGTAAAGGAGAGTCTCCAGATTAATGCGGAGTGATGAGGAGAGTGTAATAAATCAGAGATGTCAGCTTCTGAACTGTTATAAAGGTTTCAACGCAAATCAGATATTCATATGGTGAATCTGCGATACTGAGCAATACCTGCAGTGTACATCACTGAGTCATATATGAACATCACACACACCTATTACTCCATAACATTACTGATGATAATGGACACACGCACACACACACACACACTCAGATTTACAGCACTACATGGATAGACTGGATGATCTGCTGATGATCTGGGCTCTGTCTGGCCCTGAGGATCAAACACAGACGGTAATCAGACGTCTCCGCGACGCTCTATCGGCCACAGTCACTTACCCACGGGAACGCGCTGCTGGCACTCCTCTCCGGTGTGCGCGTGCTTGCAGCGGCCGCAGTCAAACCCGCTGTAGTTCCCGTTGCAGCGG